GAGAGAGAGAGAGAGAGAGAGAGAGAGAGAGAGAGAGAGAGAGAGGGAGAGACAAAAGAGAAAGAACAGAGAGAGAGCGAGAGAAAAAACAAAGAACAGAGAGAGAGAGCGAGAGAAAGAACAGAGGGAGTGGCACAGACAGACAGACAGAAGAGACAATGACCGCACGTCATTGCTGTGATCGCGTAGACGCGCTGCAAGCCCTCAGAACGAATTTCGCACCAAGACCACAGGCGGCGCTGTAGCGGGTCACAGGTAAAGACACTTCAGTAGCATCGCTTATCCCGCGTCGCAGACAGTGGAGGCGGGCATGCATCTGGAAGATCCCGGCACCAACGAGGAGAGAAGCACCAAAAAGCTCGAGGCGGTACAACTCACCTGCGTCGGCAGAGATGTCGGTTCGTTCTATTAATACAACGCAGGGCAAGAAAACAGAAAATAGCGGACTCGACGTACTCACTCACGTTGGCAGAGAGCACAAACACGGCTTCCGAGCTTCTGGCCAGCCCCATCAAAGCGTCGGCATCCACAAAGCGGAGGGGAATCAAAGCCATGCGTTCTTTGAATTCCTTGATATCCTGAGGGGAACAACACACGCCCGTTGGGGAGAGGGTCGTGGCTTAGCGGAGCAATCAAGAGGTCTGGTTTCGGAAGCGGGGAGTGCATTCCAACGCGGTTCGTCACGCTAACGGCATTCATTCGGGAAAAATGACTAGTTAAGTGAAAACTTGTACCTCGCTGCTCGCTTCTCTACTCCCTATCCTATCCCTCGCCCTTCTTAAGCAGCTCCCTGTGGGTACGTGTGCTGGTCAAACCCCTCACTCCCACGAACGCTCTGCTGCATTTCCCTCACAAGAGGCCTACATGCACCGTGGTTTGCGGTACTTTTGTGTTGCTCGCCTCGATCAGTCGCCCCCCCTGGTATGTGCCCCACCGTCCTGCTCGAACGAAGCGGAGGTCGGGAATTTTCGCTATTCCAAACACCTTTCCAAGTAGATTAGCGATAGCGGTTGCACAAGGACGGAAGGCGGGATGGGATAGAACCAGACGGGATGGAATTAGATCAAACGGGACGAGATCGAACCTCAAGACTATGGTGACCGCTTGTCGCCACATGAAGAACCGTAGGATAGCCACGATGCTGTGTGACTTTCATACTTGTATCTCGTCAATAGACTTTGTCGCGCCCAGACGAGTGGATCACCGGCCTCAGGAGGGATTTACTGGCACTGCGGCCATTCGCATGAGACCGAAGGAAGGTAGAACAAAGAAAGGAAGGACTGTAGCCCCAAATGAGCACCTGGATCTGCACCCTGCGTTACCCGCCTGCGGTAGAATACCGTATACGACACAAGATAATACCCCCCCTGGACCGATTTTCAAAGCTCGATTACTCCACGACGAAGAGGATGCATAAACGAAACGATACATTTTCGAAAAGCTCTCGACGAGACGGTTTCAACGCCGCCGCTTTCGGCGCTGTGACTGTTCCTGCAGTTGAGAAATCGAGCTTCGAAAATCGGTCAAGGGGGTGTGTTATCTTGTGTCATACACGGTAACACCTGCTATTAGAAGAAGAAAGTGGACCGGCGGTGCTTCAGAATTGCGTACTAAGATTGTGCGACCAAGCCAGGGCCGATAGCACAGCAGCAGTGGGCGGGCAGCACGAGTAGCTCACCGTCTTGAGACGAGGGTTCTTCTCGATGTCGACCTTGGCAAGCTTGAACCACCGCTTCGAGTCGTCCGGCTCTTCTTTCTCCCATTCGGCCTCGAGGTAGTTTAGAACTGGGCTCAATCTCTGGCAATGTCTGCAGCCAGGCTTGCGTGTTATTTTGCAGTAAGCAGGGAACGAAGGGGGGCAAAGGGGGGACGGGGGGGGGGCGCGAGAATGGGCTGTTTCGTGTACATGAGGTTGCAGTTCGCCCGAAATAAACCAACAGAGTGATCAGAGAAGCATCAATTTGAACGGCGGGACTACATCTTGTATTCCAAGCGATGAGCGTTGCCGTTGTTGGAGTGTTAGTGTTATCGCCTATCAGTGCAAGTCAGCTGCCCCACTTTTCGATCCCTTCCCTTTCAATACAGCAGTACCCTGCGGGTTCGCGTCGTACCGTATATTTATTGTATACATAATGCTGGATGGCCATTCGTTGAATACTGTAGTAACTTCGAGCACGACCGTTTGCCTACGTTTGTACAGAGGACGTGAGGAGCCAGGTGGGTATTGCATACTGCTCAGTGTACAGCAACAGTGTAAACACGTGTGTGGCACTAAACTACTGCTGTCAGAGGTGAGGGACCTACAGCAGTACCTTTACAGTACCATAGGCCAGGGGAATTCAGTTGGAGCGACCTTGGACCAGGATCAAATCGATCGATGACCACATTTTGGAAACGTACCGACAGAACCAAGGGGGAATACCACATTCATATAACAGAACCTTCCACACCCTCACCCTCGGCAACAGCTTGGTGGAAGGCGAGTGGTGAGTGGCGCAAAAAAAAACAGCCACAGCGCCGTCGAATCGAGTTTTAAGAACCTCACACACACGACCGACCTAGACTACAAGCATACATGGCGGTTTCGGTGCTGCTGTTGCCAAATCGCTCCGCTCCCCAGCACTCCTCAGGTCTTCAGACACTACGATTTCAGGCACGCCGACAAGCCTGCGTGTCGCACCTTGTAGAAGTCGACCAATAGGAGCGCTTGTTCAGGAAGGTCGGCGACGAAGTCATCGAAGTCGTTGTCTCCAAGGTTTTGAACCTCCCCCAAGCCAATCGTACAAACCACGGTGGTCACTGCCAGCAGCCGAAGAGCCCGGTAAGGCATGCTAGCCATCAGCGGCATCATCTCACCCGAACTGTATAAGCCACCCCTTGCACCAAATCTCTCGCCGCTTAGCAAACGTGGCTCGTGAGTGTGCAGTGCAGGGCTGCAAAGAGGAAGCGAATCTACTAGTCTGCGTTGGTGGCGCCGGCAGGTCTGCTGGCTGCTGGCTGCTCGCTGCGCGCAGGGGGGGCGGACCAACGACGGGTGTTCCAAGTTGAATCTATCGCATGTACGCTGAATATCGGGATTTGTGCAGCGCGGTACTGGTAACATACCGACACTACTCGTCTCTTTTCTATTCCTACACTCGGTGTTGTGTCTGCCTGCCCTCTGCTACTGCAGTCTCAAGTGAGTCTCAACACACAAAAGCCTCTGTGAAGGGGGAGGGGCGCAAACGACGGTAATCACCGGGAGGTCATTGTTTCCATGGCAAGTATCCATTGTCAAATATTTTCCGTTTTTTCCCTGAATATAGAACTCTCCCTTCTTCCCCTCGCTCCTCGACAAGCTTTTGCTTTGACATGGGTTGTAGCGAAGGGGGGGGTCTTTCTGGCGAGCAGGGCTAGACTCACCCTCAAGGGATGACCGAAACCTTCTTGCTGCTGCGCATNCTTCCGTTTTGGTATAGAGTGGGACAGGGAGGGGGTGATGCTACTGTAGTCGAACGGTGGGACGGACGTGCAGTTCAGTTTTTGGGCACGCATACGGTGCTGCAGGGATTTTTAGGTGTGCCTCTTCGGGCTCTTGGATACCTTTTTCTCGTTATATGTGTGCGTGTTCTCTAGATCCTCAGATGATGGCTCTAGCACTTTCGTGACCACGGGCTGAGAGTCTTTTGCTAGATTTTGGCATTTAGCAACTGACATGCGGTTTAATGTGAAGACAACAACAACAACAACAATAGATGTGTATGAGTGATGACGTCACTGGTTTTTTTGTAGAGAGACCCTGCGGAGATGGCGCGGACAACTCGGGTGCCTTACTTGTGTACCACCTGCATCGCGGGAGACCCCTTCAATGATGTGGAACGATTCCTAGGCAGTGTCGATGTTTACACTGCTGTGCCTAACACAGATGATATGGATAGATTCGGGTGATTGTCAATTGCAATAATGGCTTTGGTTGGGTCTTCATTGTATGTCCACGGACTCATTTTGACAGCACTTCAGACAGCAGCTGCATGCCCCGAGCTTGTGTACCATGCACCCATGGGGTGTTATTATTGTACAGACAGCACTTCAGACAGCAGCTGCATGCCCCGAGCTTGTGTACCATGCACCCATGGGGTGTTATTATTGTACAGACAGCACTTCAGACAGCAGCTGCATGCCCCGAGCTTGTGTACCATGCACCCATGGGGTGTTATTATTGTACAGACAGCACTTCAGACAGCAGTACGCTGTCTAGTCGACAAACATCAATTTTGGTGAAATGCGGGACAAGGGGGATGATGCTGCTGCTGTAGTCGAATTGTAGTTGTTGTTGTTTCTCACATTAGCTCTTATAGTCCACAAAAACTG